TATATATATAAATAAAACCACAAATGAGAGTCAGCATCTCTGTGGATCGGACCTTTGAGTCGGACCAGCTCGTTGTGGCACTTCTTTCTCAGGTTCATCTCCCGCTTATATTTCCTCAGCAGCTCCTGGTTGGTGCTGCTCACCTCGTTGATCACCTGACAGATCTAACACACACACACACACACACACACACACAGACACACACAGACACACACACACACAGAAGCTTTAGGACCACCCGACACCTGGAGCAGGACCGGTGGGAGCTAGTGGAGGACCCACCTCCTGTTTGGCCTCAGAGATGGCCTTCTCCAGCATGAAGGGGAAGTCCTGCACCTGCCTCTTCAGACAGTTGTAGTCCGAGGTCAGAGTCCTGAGAGCCGGCTGCAGGCTCAGCAGGTTCAGACGCACCCCTGTGATCATCATCACCATCATCATCATCATCATCATCATCATCCTCATCATCATCATCATCCTCATCATCATCATCATCATCATCCTCATCATCATCATCATCATCATCATCCTCATCATCATCATCAGACCAGCAACAGGAAACAGTCTGACCTGCCAGGTTCTCGTGGACCGCCTTCATCTCGCTCTCTGCTCTGATGAAGGCCTCCTCAATCACACGGTTCTTCTCCTCCTCCAGGTTCTGCACCTCCACCTCCAGCCGGCCCCGGGTGCGCTCCACCTCCCCCTCATAAACAACGATCTGAGGGAGGACGAGTTCACGTGATGAGGTCTGCACCTTTAACTGGTGTCTTTATGGATTTATACTCTTATCAAGATGTAGCTCCTCTCCATGACTCTTCACGTTCTGCAGGGTTCATTTTTAATAAATAAAAAGCAAATCCTCCCAGAAGCTGGACTCACCTGGGTGCGGAGCTGGGCACAGGTTCTCTGCGAGTCGTGCAGCTGGATCTCGAGCTCTCTCAGCAGCTGCCTCTGAACGTTCAGCTGCTCCTGCAGGACGTCGTTCTTCTTCTGCATGTCAGACAGGACTCTGTGTGAGTGTGTGGACTCCGCCTCCACCGCCTGTCACAAACAGGAAGTTATTTCAGCTTCTTACCCAAACATTTGCTCAGCTCAGATTTCCCTCCTCTGCACAGATTAAATAAATATTCTTTATATTCTGAGATCATCAGACTGAGGCTCAGAGTCAAAGAGAAAAGAGAAAGGTTGTGTTGTCTCAGAGCTGCAGCTCCACCTGTCTCTTCCCTCACCTGGACTCTCGAGGACGTTACATCCTGACGGCTGTGATGTCCTTCACACTCCTGCAGTCGGAGGTGGAGATGATGCTGCGCCTCCTCCTGCCTCCTCCTGGACTCCTCCAGCTGCCGCTGCAGAGCCTCCTCCCTGCAGCTCCTCTCCTGCAGCAGCTGCTCCACCTCAGCCAGCCGCTGCTCCTTCTGACGAGCCTGGACCTGCCAGCGGGACACCTCCCTCCTCAGCACCTCCACATCCTGCAGAACAGGAGGCTTTATTCACCTGAGACAGGTGTGACTCAGGAAACCACACCCCCTGAACACCTGAGGTCCACCTGAGGTCTGAGACTCATCCAAACCCTAATCTGTGTGTGTGTGTGTGTACCCGTGTGTGTACCCGTGTGAGTACATGTGTGTGTACCTGTCTATGTGTGTACCTGTGTGTACCTGTGGGGACTCACCTGTCTGTGTGTGTGTACCTGTGTAGACCCACCTGTCTGTGTGTGTACCTGTGTGTACCTGTGTGGACTCACCTGGCGGTGGGGGCAGCAGCTGCAGCTGCAGGTCTCTGCAGCGGCGTCGAGCTTTTGAAACTCTGAAATTCTGCATGACTTCAGCTCCTGCTTCAGACGCTCGTTCTCCACCAGCAGCCGCTGCAGCTGCTTCTCCAGGTCTGTCGCCCCCTGCAGGATGAGGAAAGAAAAACATCCGTTGAACAGTCATCTTTGATTTTCTGTTTAATTTGCTGACGGGGCACTAAATTCTGGGATACAGTCGATCGCATAGGATACTCCGACGCAGCTGAAGGTTTCGGGGTTTTGTCGGCCGCATGTGTAGGCGCCTACGAATTGGGACAGCCTACGACGCGGGGCAGTGACGTAAGCAGCTGACATCGGCTGCAGCCCATGAATTGAGACACAGACATTTTTTGATAAACATTTATTTCAACTGCTAAAATAATAAACTGTTAGCTTTGTATTTGTCAACTGCTAGCTTTAACGCTAGCGCCAAGCTTACAGATATATGCTGATATAACGTTAGCACCGAGCTAATGCATATATGTATATGGTGATATATCATTAGAAATATATAAAATAATGCCACATATTTATTAGTAATGTAATGATATATATATATTTATTTATTAGGGGTGCAACGATACAGAAAATTCACGATTCGGTTCAATACTTTAGTCTCACGGTTCGATATTTTTTCGATACGAAAAAAGAGAAATGTCCATGCCCCTTTTAACTTGTAATTTATTAAAATTAATTATGAACATTTGTTTAACCTCTAAAGTACAGTTTTTAAATTAAATGTTGCTGAAACAGCAAGTTTCTCAGTGGATCTGTGCTCTAAAATGCAGCCTAGGTGGAGTAGTCGAACACAGATCCACTGATCCTTCAACACAGAGCATCTTCAGAAGACAAGTTGATAAAATAAATGTTAAAAATCTGTATTGTTCAATACAAGTGTGTATTKAACCTAAAGCACTGTTCGATACGGGTACATGTATTGTTGCACCCCTAATATATATATAGTAATGGCTCAGGCGCTAACGCTATATCGCTATATATATGTATTAGCTTGGCACTAGAGCGAAAGCTAACAGGCTAAACTGAAGTTTTTCAATCCATGAAGCAGCTCTGCTGTCCTCCATATTTTCAGATGCAGGCTGAGTCATTCCTACATTTTATATATATTTATATATATTGGCGCTAGCGTGAAAGCTAACAATTAAAAAATACAAAGCGAACAGTTTTTTTTTGCAGTTAAAATAAATGTTTATCAAATAACGTCTAATGCTACAAGTAACCATGGATCTGTTTAACGTGTTAAAAACTGTGCAGGTTAAGGCCGTAAGACCAAAACTCAAACCTGGTTCTGTGGCTCAGTTTCATTTTATGTTTAAATCCCGTGTTACTGAGGAATGTGGTCCAGCGGGTTCTCACCAGTTCAGAGCGAAGTCTTTCCACCTCTTGGGTGTGATCCAACAGCTCCTCCTCCAGTTCCTTCACCTGCAAACACAAACACCTGTTAAAAACCATCTGAACCATAACATCAAACCTTTTAAAATACATAAAACTTTAGTTTCTGGTAGTAACTGTTTTAATAATGAATACTGAGCTATTCTGCTTCCTTTGGATCTTTTTACATCCTTTTAGAAACACATTTTAAAAAGGCCTGGTTCTGTTCTGGGTTCTGTTTAAGGTCACAGAGTTGTTGAACTCTATACTTATGAACATCCTCTGAGATCATATAGCATCAAAAAGCTAACTCATGAAGAAGTGGGACAGGTTTCTACAGGTGTGCTGTGTTACCTGTATACATACCTGTGTGCGCAGCTGAATAATGAGCTGCTTGTTCTCTAAACACCTGAAACAATCTGAATCTTCACCGGCCTGCAGCACCGTCACACCTGGACAACACAGAGACACAGAAGCCTGAGGGTTTGATGGTATCGGGGTGTGTTTGTGTGTGTTAATACAGGGTCACATTAAAAGAAACACAAACGTGTGTTTGTGTGTCTCACTTTTAGATGTGACTGACGGCTGCTCTTCCTGCAGCGTTCCAAAGCCTCGAAACGTTTGCTGCTGCTGGAGGCCGTGATGCTGCACCAACAGCTGACGGGCAACTTCCTCAGAGCGAAAACGTGCCTGAAATAGGAACGTACCATATAAACAATATAAATTTGGCCTATCAGAGATCTGTAGTCTGCCCGGCAACTGCGGTAATTCTTGTTGATGATGTAACCGTCTGGAGTCAAAACAGAGGGAGCGGCGTGGCTGAGAGCGCAAAGGAAGAGCAAAAAGTTGAAAAACATAAATCATCTGGACTTGGTTCAGGTTTAACCTCCAGCAGGAGGAGCGCAGCAGTAAAAGCATAAACTGGAGAAACCAGCCCCTTGTTCATCGCTTTGCTTCGTACAGAGGGTCTGGACTCTCGGCTATTGAGAAATAATTTCTTGCTGGAGGCGTGGCCTCTGTTGAAGTTTTAAACGATTGGATCTGATTTACCCAATCGCTAACATGACGTATGTAGTGCGCCACTTTGACTGTGAAGGAAGCTACGCTACAAAGCTAACCGCAAATTGCGTGCTCTTTAAACAACCATCTGAGCTATGGGGTGCCGTTTGTAAAGTTACACAGTCAAAAATTACCACCAATACTTTTCTTTTATTTAGTCTTTTACAAGAAAAAAGAACATATTTATTTTTCAAAGTCAGTTTTTCACCATATGATTCATACATTTATAAATGTCATAGTTTATAAACTAAATATTTAACTTGCAAATTAAATATTTAGTTAATAAGCTAAATATTTAACTTGTGACTTAAATATTTAGTTTTGAGCTAAATATTTAGCTTGAAAGTTAAATGTTTAATTTGTAAGTTAAATATTTAATTTATAAACTATGACATTTATAAATGTATGAATCATATGTGAAAAACTGACGTTGAAAAATAAATCTGTTCTATTTTTCTTATAAAAGGCTAAATAAAACAGAAATATTGGTGGTAATTTTTGAATGTGTAACTTTACAAACGACAGCCCATACTGAGCTGCCCAGCACTTACTCCTAATTTCTCACCCCTCTTGATTTGATCCTCCATTAAGGCCTGAAGAGGGGAAACAACGATAACGATGGGGTTTCCTTCTGTAGCGTTCAGCTTAGCTACATCCTGCACTGTTAATGGAGCCGTCTGGAAAGTTAGACTTTTGCTGAACCCCATGGAGAGTAGGACCACGACATCTCTACCATCAATAAAATGTTTTAAACATTCCTCTTGCTTCAACTTATGGAAGCCTTGTCAACCAGACTGAATGGCTTCATTCACTTCCTCCGCTGCCATTGCTAAACTACAGGCTAGAAAATCGACGTCATAGTTCAAAACTCCTTCTGTTCACTGATTGGCCCTCGTCTATGGGAGAAAACCCAGATGGAGCAGAGATGAGAGACTGGAATCGAGGTCCAGGTCAGTTTGTAACTTTTTTTTATGTACGTAACTTTCATAAACTTCCATAAGCCTCATAATCAGAGTGGAGGATCATTATATTAGTTTAAAATGAGCTCCAAACAATATTATCGTTCATCGCGATAATATCTGAGATGATTTATCGTCAAGCTAAATTTATATCGTGACATACCTAGTAGAAAACAGAAACATCACATAACAGCTGCAGAAGCTTCACAGTTGAATCACTGAAGACTTGGAGACAGAGTCAGATCAGGCAATGACCTCAGAAAACATCACTTTGTCAAAGTGACCTTCAGTCAGCTGAACTGAATCTGTGTGAGCAGTGAGTCAGCACCGTCACACTAACACATCCAGACAGCCTCTGGTGCTCAGCAGTACCTCCTGACCCGTCAGTTTCTGCTTGTTTTCTGAGGTTAGTCTGGGTTTTGCGGTCTACCTGTATGAGCAGCTGCTGCTTGGTTGCGTTTGTGTCGCTGAAATCGGCGGTCAGAGAGGAGCGCTGTGAGAAGGAGGAGGCAGGCAGAGACAAGAAGGAACCGTCGTCTTCACCATCACTCAGCAGAAAGTCCATCGAACTCGCTGTGAGAACAAAGAGACAGAAAGAACAAAAGATTTACAATCTGAAGTTATACAAATTATAAGTAATCTCTGCAGAAATGGTGATGAACATCCATCAGCTTTGTTCTGTAAAACCCAACAGGATTGTGTAACTCTTTTTGCTTCAGTTTTCAATCGTTGAAGCCAGAGTTTTACACTAAAATCATCAGATGTTGAAATGAACCCGTTTTGGTTAAATCTGTAAAATAACGTTACGTCACATGAGTTCCCATCCAGTCTTTTAAGAATAAGAGTTGTAAATGACTCTCAGCTTTTAGCTCAGTATCTGTAAACTGAGAACAGTTTTTGTTTTCTAACATCAGTTGGATAAACTGGGTTGGACATCGAAACGATTACTCTGAGAATTCGATTAAATTCAACCACTAGTTCCTAAGATATTCTGCATGCAAACAAAAATGTCCCCTGCTTTCCGCAGGCAGACAATATTCATTTAAGCTATGACAGAAAACGTCAGTTTGAAGAGTACTTAGTTTAATTTTGAATCTCCAGATAAGAACAGAGCTACATATCATGATACAGGAATCATGATATATCACAATATATTGCAATACTGTAAGCAAGGTGATGTATCGTACTTTTTTCTTCAAAGGATTCAAATGTTAAAAACCTCAGTATAAAGAGCACAACCTGAATTAGATGCATAAAACCTGATTAAATTCAGTTTGTTTTTATGCAGTTAGAACAATGAACAATAATGAGAACAGTATTTGTATTTCACACTTCGTCTTATAACATCCATTTATTAAAAAAGTGTTAAAAAACATCAGATCACATCATGAACTGTTTAAACTTTGAAGGACGGTTCTGTGAAGTCTGAGCTTCAGAGCTCCAAACAGGCCTGGGTTTTTACCACTCGCTTCAACTGGTCCCAGTGTTGTCAATGGAAACTATTGATTTTTTTCCCCAAACCATCATGTGATGGGGAGATGTTTTGTAGCAAATTTTATCCATAAAGTACAACACAATTACTGACTGGACACATGTTTTGATGTATTTTTGTTTATTTATTTATTTATTTTTATTTTTTGGCTATTGCTCAAGGCTGCCAGAGTAGCAGTGATAGAAAAATTATGTTGGAAACAGAAAAATAATAATAGTAATAGTAGTAGTAGTAGTAGTAGTAGTAGTAGTAGTAGTAGTAGTAGTAGTAGTAGT